TTCACCTTATGATGTACCGCAGGAAAGGCTACGAGCGCGAGTTCCTTGCTCTACGGCACATCTCGGCGGCACAAGCTCTCGCGCATTAAGGGCAGCTGCCAACGCCATGATCTCGCGCCTCTAGCATTCGCTGCGGTACTACATAAGGTTAAACGGAGTGTAGTAAGCGCGCTGTTGTTACGTGTCGTCATTCAGGCGAGCACGCGCGACCCGCATGATCAGTCAACCTCGGCTGCCGACAGCAAACGGTGTAAACAACCACATCATTATCTAAGCTACGAGGCAATAGTGAAAAGGGAAGTTGTAAACAACCCCGCACCAATGGCGGCCATACTACTCTCTACGCTATTCACTTGTTGTTCGCGAGTTCACGTGGCGTGAAAACTCCCGAGAAGTTTCAGGCGCGTGATTCCTCAAAGTGGGTCCTGAGTCCTGCCACAATAAACACTGGCGTTCGCGCTCTCTTCGCAGAGCCCTCCCTTCTAAAGGCTGAGCTCCACGCGTCACATAGTTGAATACACACTGTCTGACCTACTAAATCTTCTTGCATCCAAATTGATGTCACCTCACTAAACAAACCTGAAATTGTATAAAAACGTACATCATCTGGATAATACATTCTTTTTTTTTTTTAATTATTAATACTTTGTTTTCGCGTTGTTATTTGCCTTCTAGGGGTATCGAGGACTCATAAAGCTGCACAAGAGGGACCTTTTTCCTATGTAGCCCATTGCCTATGATGGAAAATTAACAATGTTTCAACGTTTCAACTCAATGGAGCAAATATGCGGCAAAGAACCGACAAACTTCGCTAGGTGGCACGTTGGCTTTGCCCGCGGGAACCATACCTCGGCAAATTCCATTCATGAACTCTCTCATTCACCTTCATTCACATTCACGGCGTGAATCTGAATGGCTCTGAATGAATTCTTGAATTTGAAAAAAAAATCATGATGTGATTGCGAATGATTTTGTGAATTTGAATGAATTCGTGATGTGATGGTGAATGAATTCGTGATGTGATGGTGAATGAGCGCGTGAGTTTGAATGAATCTGTGATGTGATGGTAAATGAAGTCGTGAAGTGATGGTGAATGACTTCGTGAATTTGAATTAATTCGTGATGTGATGGTGAATGACTTTGTGATTTTGAATAAATTCGTGATGTGATGTTGAATTAAGTCGTGATGTGATGGTGAATGACTTCGTGAATTTGAATGAACTTATGATGTGTTGTGATTGTGAAGGACTTCGTGAAGTGAATAGAATTCATTGTGATGCGAATGACTCAATGAATTCCTGACGTGATGATGAATGGCTCGTGAAAACGATGAATTTGTGATGTCCGTGGCTCGTGAACTTTATAAGTTCGTGATGGGAAGTAATGTCGTAAACTTAATTCTCGACGTGATAGTGAATACGGTTATGAATTCAGAATAGGCGGAAAACATGTTACGCAGGTGCTTGCTTGCTTGCGGGTTGTTTTCATCCTTCACCGCAAACAGGGACCCATTTGACTTTTAGCGGTTTGGGCCTCAGTCTCGCTGCGTAGCCGTGCGCGCCTCAGCGCGGTGGCCCTTTGTCGAGCACTTTCGTGGTAACAGCTGTTTATAAGGGAAGTGCGGTGGCAGTGGCAATAAAGGGGAGGGGGGGGGGGGGGGGGGGGGGCTAGTCGTTTTATTAGGCACTTGACATTTAATTTTACCGTTGTTCTGAGCGGTTCCTTGTGAATCAATTGAGCTCCTTGCCGACCTTGTCCTTCCGTGTCTCGGGGCATATGGTCCAGAATCCCTGAAGGCTCTCCCTGTGCCGTTTCGCTCGTGGGTCGTGCGTGGTGCAGCCGCGCTGTCCGCGGGCACTAGTAGCAGCAGGCGCCGCTTCGTCCACGTGGCGCAGCCATATATCGTTTCAAAAGAGACGAAGTCGAAGCCGACGTCACGAGCAGGCGCACCTAATCTGGCGCCGAGACCATATCACGTGACCTGCCGGTTCCGCGCGGCGGCGCACGGAGCACATTTACGTAACACGATCGCAGCGCGGCATTGGCTGGGTTGGCGCTCTATCAATATGGTTTGTGTTTCGCGCACTCGAAATACCTCACTTCCCCGGCGGAGTCAGGTCCTGATTTTAAGTGGCTGACACAAAAAGGCGCCACAGTCCTATTCCGCAAGAACTGCGAACTCATGAAGGGCTACCAGCCGTGAAGTCGAATTTAGTCATGAATGAACCTCAATGACTTCGTGAATTACGCGGAATTCATGATGTGATGGTGAATTCCGGTGAATTCGTGTTGACCGTGATGGTGAATAACTTTGTGAAGTGATGGTGAATTCGGATAAATCATGATGTGATGGTAAATTCGGATGAATTCGTGATGTCATGGTAAATTCGGATGAATTCATGATGTGATGGTGAATTCGGATGACTTCGTGAAGTATGGTGAATTCGGATGAACTCGTGAAGTGATGGTCAATTCGGATGAATTCATGATGAGATGGTGAATTCCGATGAATTCACGATGGTGAATTCTGATGAATTTCGTTGTGATGGTGAATGACTTCGGGAATTGGTGAGGTGATGGTGAATGACTCCGTGAATTTGGAGGCGGCGGTGATGTGATGGGGATGAATTCTCGGCGCGGTTGAACGCCGTGATGTGAAGGGGGTGAATTCTCGGCGGAGTTTGAAAGCCGTGACGTGAAGGGGATGAAGTTTTGGCGCAGTTGAATGCCGGGATGTGAAGGGCCGTGACTTTGGGAGGTCAGAGTACCTTGTGACGTGAATGCGAATGAATTTGGAGAAGTGATTTTGTTTGTGATGTGATGGTGAATGAAGGGGCTCTAAAATGCCGAGCTATGGCGGGAGCTGATATGCTGCGAACAGATGTAGCAACCATCGCCAAACAAAAATCGTTATTTTTGTTTTTCCCCCTTTTTTGCTTCATGAAGTTCAACTTGGCAGTGTCAAACTTGTTAAATGCAAAGATTTTCTGCGATTATACAAAAATCTGTACATGACATAATGAAAAATTTAACGAATAGCTATTTTCAGTTGCGAGGGAAGTTAAGCGTTCGGCTTCGCTAACTGGAAATTACAAGCAGTCTCGCACCTGTATACGATTCAGGCATCAGGACACACAGTGTCCCCGCTGAGACGTCTTGTCATGAAGCGGCCACTGGGTGCGTTTTTGTTTTTCTAGCACTTTCTAATGCTTATGCCCCCCCCCCCCCCCCTGTGTTTAATCACCAGCAAGCCCGACGAAATGAATCAAAGAGTAACTAACAAACTAGTCGTTAGTTGTTTAGACAGCAGGAGTATAGTATGTCGGGGTATAACTATATTGTTACCCACCGTAAATGAGAAATTTAACCGGTGCGGATCATTCTTCGCTAAGAGATAATCATTTCGATCGGGCAGAGAGGTGAAGACCAAAAGGAATGCGCGCCCAAAGGCCGGAGCTTCAGCCATACATCTATAGTCGGTTGCAAGCTAAGAAAAAACCGGAAATGCCTCTCAGAGGAAAACAATCCTACGCCGAGAAACGCCAGCCAATCGTTTTCATGACGTCACGATTCCGTGGACCAATCGCGATCCTTTTGAAAAGAAAAAAAAAGCTCAACATGGCTGCTGGCCTTAGCAACGCGACGCTAGTTTCTCGTGACAATTATTCTGCTTTTTTGCACCGTGTTTTACGTGCCCGAGGTTACGCCACGAAATCTTAATGGTATCGGCTTGCGTTTGCAGCAGTTTTTGCGCGACAACGTGAGAATCCAGCGACGCTATCGCCAACGAAAATTTCGAAGCGGGCGCAAGGCTTAGCACTGCTGAGAGCTGGAAGACGGCATGTTAGACAGTATCTTGGACAGAAAATGAATTGGAAAGACGGTACATTGTACATGACTTTCTTTACTAAACAGCTATTTCGTTGACAAAAACGTATTCTAACTTATTTAAATGTCCTGAATGAATTAAATAAATATTGTAGTAGTTTAAGACACGTTTCCTGGAGGAAGAAAAAGCAACGTTGCTAGCGAACTACTTTCTCGACGGTGGAGGCACTTCAGATGGGCGCAATGCGCTTGTGGGTGGAGCTCAAAGATTGTTCTTAGCTTGCAACCGACTATAGGAGCCGAGATATCAAAAAGTCTGCGCTGCACCCGTGCAAAAAACTTTCGTATATCGTTTCCTATAGCTTTACATTGCTAGCGGGAGCTAGCAAAAGCCCGCACAATCACGTTTAGCCCGGATGAGTACGATTATATGTCAGATCTGAGGCAGCATGCACTCGCCTTGCCTTTTTGCTCTGCTTTAATTGGGGAGCCTTTTTTTACAAAAGGGTATCATGTCAGATACACTATGCATTCTAGGGTTGTAAAGGGGTATTCCCACGAGGCGAATCACGAGATAAAAACGCGAGGCTTTTGCACATTGCAAAGCCTGACGTTTTCGTCGTGGGATGCGCGTGCCAGGGAGAAATCCCCGGGATTTCTCCCTCGTGTGAATACCCCTTAAGCGTGGCTACCAGTCAAAGGAGAGAGCCTGGCACGCGACGTTTGAGACACGAATGTTTCGCTGACTTATACGTAGTGTAAGCAGCAAACCAAAGTTACTAGGTTACCTCAGTTGTGGAACTCCCGCCGCGGAGGTACCCCCGCTACCTCCCTTCAATACGCCTCCCCGTCGTTTGAAGCGCCATCTAGATTTTCGTTTCAAAACTGTGTGTTCCATAAAGTACGGCGAAACGCTATCTACACGCTGTGCTTCAAGACATGTGTATTTCATAAAATACACTGCGGTTACCGTAACAACTCCCCAAAAAAGGAAAAAAAGATGGCGTCTTTGTCGACGGTAGGCGAGCCGCGGGGAGTGAGGGGGCGCTGCTCGGTGCAAGCAGCGTCTATGGGCAGTAACGTAACTGAGCTATGCTAGTAACGTTGAAGCAAACGTAAGAAAAGGGTGCTGCGTAAAGCAACCATTAAAACGTTCTCGCTGCGTCCCGCAGGACGGACCCGCCTCCGAACCTTGGTGCTGCACCAGACGCCCATCTACGGCGAGCAGGACCAGAGACTTGTGCCGGAGTTCATGCGCTGCGCCGGATGGACCCTCAACACCTTGGTCCGGATCGGCAAGGGCTTCCAGGTGAGTTGTCCGATGCGCGTCCCTCTAGGGCTGGGACAGGTGGAGATCAGGGCGTGCAACGGCGTCAGGGCGACGAATCCCGGAGAAAAGCTCACCGGAGAAAGGCTCACCGGAGATAAGCTCACCGGAGAAAAGCTCAATGCAAAACCGGCGGATGCGGAGAAAAGCTCACCGGCCATAGAGCGTATGCGGAGGAAAGCTCACCGATATTTTTTTTTTCTTTTTATATGGAGGCTGCGTGATTATGCGTAACATTTATCAATTTATTGTTATTAAAATTCGTTAGCTTTGTACAAAAGAAAATGTCATTTCCTATAATATTTGTTAAACTTTTTGGGTATACTGCTCCCAAATTAATAATTGCGGGCGAGTGTTTTCTGCGGCTTACTTTCTTGGCAACTAAAGCCTAACTGACAACTTTATAAACTTGAATGACAGGAAAAAGTTCGAAAACTTAATAATGTCTGCCTAAGACCAAAAATCAAAACTGTAAATGCCCAAAATTCGAAAGTACATGCGCAACAACGGTGTGCCTGAAATTCTCTTTGAAGCTTTTGTTAACCTTTGAAAACAGGATAAAACAGTCAGTAGGATATCGGGGCTTCTTTCTTCCACGGACATGCACGTCTTCTGGCCGCTCGTGCTAGTGTTTCCACACGTTGCCTCTGTGTGATAGTGCCTTTCTACAGCGAACCACCCATGACCTTCAGAGCTGCACACTGGCACCATTGTTACTCGTGACCTATATAAGAAGTAGTCTTCTGTAAGGTAGCGAATAGGGCGAGTTGGGTAAGCGTTAAACATGATGAAAACCGCTCAAACGACGACGACTGAGTGAAGACAACAAACACGACAGGACGAAGCTATTTTCGAAACTAAAGGTTTGTTAGTCAAATTAACAGAAAGAAAACAGCGTAGCCGCCACTGATTACATCAACAAACACCTACTTATATATTAGGCACTACACAATATTTGGAGCTGAAACGGTTCACCACACCGCTATTCATATTAGCTCGCAAAAAACGAACCTCTTTATCTGACAGAGCTACCGACGGCGCACTGTCAGCTGTCAATAAATTGTTGTCTCTCTTACTGGTGTACGATGTTCTGATTTTATACTTGCGGGTTTATTAATATACAGAATGGGAGATTACTAATTTCTCAGGAATTAGTTAATATGCCCAACGAACTTCAAGAATATTACAAAAAAGATGATTTATTTTTAAGGAAGTGATGAATGCGAATACGTTTGACGCAGAATCCACTAAGTTAAAAAACAATTGGTGAGCTTTTCTCCGCATCCGCTCAAAAGCCGGTGAGCTTTTCTCCGCATCTGCCGGTTTTGCGGTGAGCTTTTCTCCGGTGAGCTTATCTCCAGTGAGCTTTTCTCCGGTGAGCTTTTCTCCGGTGAGCTTTTCTCCGCCGCCCCAGAGCCACGACCTCTTGTTGGAAGGATCCGTGGGTAGTTGACCCAAGACAGGCTGCCTTTTTCTCTGCCCAAAGTGCGAACGGGTTCGAACACCGGTGTGCGAGGAACATTTGCAACTCATCTAATCATTCACGACTTCACGACTGTCTTTTCGAGAACTACTCGTCTACCCCCCCCCCCCCCCCCCCCCCCCTCTAAGAAAAATGGAAGTAAGCTGGGTTAACAGAAGTGTGAATGGTTGGGATCAAGCTATGAGAAAATAAAAATTGAATGGAAAAGTTCTAGGCAATCGTGTTGGATACGTGAAGCGTTCTTGCGTCACAAACGTTTAGCGTCACACGACCTCAACGCCTATGCAGCTTCCCCGCCAAATTTAGCGGTCAAATTAAATTTGTGTATAGGTCACGTGACATAATGTCGACGTCATATTCCACGCTCAATTCAGCGCTGAAACCGAATGGGTGTTGAGGTCACGTGACGTCAATTTTCCCCCTTAATTTAGCTGGGAAAGTGTAACGTCAGGTGACGTCACAGGCCACTGCTTCACGAAATGCGGCTTCACAAAATCCGGAGCAACAACCCAAAAGAAATTCCACGCTAAACAAAACCACAAAAAGACGAGTGGCAGATAAAGGTTTGGGCAGTAAATGCGAGGGAGCTTGTAAAGCTTATTCGGTGCATAGTGCGCTTTTTGTGCGCTGTTGGATAATATATGCGTACACAGCGGCGTAGAGTTTCCATTTTCCCGGGGGGGGGCAGACCCGGAATGTGGCTCAAAAAAAAAAAGGGGGGGGGGGAGGCTGCGGGGGGGGGAGGGAGAGGAGGAGAAGGTCCTTGTTTTATTTGTTCCGTGGGTTCTCCCCATAAGGCTCACCTGCAGCAGTCGGAGCCTTTACCGAGCATTTTGGTAAACCCGAGACTGGAGAAAAAGGGACAAGGACATAAACAAACGGACACGGACATTGTGACAGCTAACTACCTGGTGTCCCCAAATAAGACGCTCCGCAAAAGAATGACCCGGAAACTTCAGCGGTTTGACGTATCCAGTAGAAATTTCTCTGAATACGTGTTTTACTGGCCACATTTATGCAAACATATTGCAAGACTAAACTACCAGTACAAAAAAGCGAATCTTTTTTTTTTCTGCAGGGGTAGTTCGGGTCTAAAATTTTGTTGCATAAATGTGACCAGTAAAACACGTATTTCAGGAATATTCCTACTTGTTGCACCAAGGATCTAAATTTTGCGGGCCATTTTGTGTGTAAATTGTATTTTGAGATGCCCATATAGTGCCAAACTCCCCGAGTGGATACGCAGGCGCACCAAAAGTGTTAATTTTGAAAATGGTGAACAGGAGAAAATGAATCTGCTGTAACCAAAATATTTTAATATTTTTATTTTCGTGTGGTACATTTATAATGAACAGACACACGAGGCACACGTTGAGCAATTCTCAATGCAACGGTTACAAAACGCTTACAATTAAAAAAAAAGTATAGAGCAAACATACAAGCATTAACGACGTATCTGCTCGCGCATTTCATCGTACACTGCTGTTTTTGTTTTGTACATTTCCTTAACGTGCTCACTCACAAAATCAGGAAGTAAGAAAAAGAAACAGAATGAACAGATTGTAGCAATGAGAACACGTGCATAAAAGAGACAGATAATTTCAGCCTTTCGCGGAAGCACGCAAGTTAAAATAAGAATTCTTCCAAATAATATGTCAAATAATGCTACGGAAAAGACCCGAGAATTTTTTTCTTGGCGAGCAGGTCTGCAGAATCAGTCACTGACTCACTGTGTCGGGGATGCTTCCTATTCTCAGAAGCATTTTTGTTGTCTAAAAACCGACAGAGATGTCGCGACGCTTTCAAGACTTTTTATAGCCTGTCATAGCTGAAGCGGGCACTTCAGCTGTTCATTCAGACAACATATTCCGCGCATCTAACTCCGTCTGAGGGGAATTTTCCACTGAATGTCTGACCTGTCACTGTCCCGAGATCCACCATTTAAAAGCCTGAAAGGAAATAAGAAGCTGGAATAAACAGGCCCCTGTGAAATAGCTGCCAGTCAGGACGGCCAACAGTCCACTGTCGATGGGCGCAGACCCAAGCCAAGCTCTTTAAAAAAAATCCCGGGCCGGGGCCGGGGGGGCTCTGCCCCCCCGTGAAGCCGTCCGGGGGGGGGGGGGGGGGGCACGAGCCCCACTGCCCCCCCGTAGTTGGCGCTTATGTGCGTACATTCTACAACTATCGCGATATCGTGTGTTTTAAGTAACACATTTTCTTTAGTGGGTTGTTAGCAAATACCTTTTATTATAGGCATGCATGCACCGTGTGGTCTCGCTTTGTATACCGCGAGTAGTAAGTTCTACATTACTTAGCGCATCAAGAAAACGACTTCAAAAACGAGCATGTCTCTCATAAAGAAGCATGAAAAACCGCGAACCTTCGACAGGCTGCCACTAGCCGTAAAACCCCTTGATGTGTTAGCGCTTGTCTTGCAAGTAGCGCAAAATGCGCCAGTGCACGAGGCCCATGTCTCGGGCGAAACCCTTGAAAGCAAATGGCGGCGCAGCGACGAGATGAGGGGCCCTTGACAGCGAAGGGGGCAGACCACCCGCTCGCGGCACGTGTCTCCCGCGTTTCCACAACAATAAAAAAAAAGCGTTTTTACCAAAGGGTTTTTATTAGCCGCATATCGAGGAGCCATCTGGTGGCGCCGCTTGCAACCAAGCCGACTAGAGGACTTTATCTGGCACCCGCGACGCGCGTGGTGTCCATACCTCATACACCGTGTCCGAAAGCAATGGTACCCAGCGCCTGGGCGCTCAAGCAATGCCACCTAAAAGCCAAAACGTAACCCCCCCCCCCCCCCCCCCCAAAAAAAAAAAGAAAAAAAAAACAACAACTGCATTACGGGTCTTTTTTTTTTTTTTTTTTGTAGTTTGTGTTAGCTTTGCCGAGATATCTGCCGCTTTTCTCTCGTCGAGCTTCAGCATGTTTCCAATGATGTCATCTTCCAGGTGATCTCAAGCATGTAGTTTTAAGGACTGCTCTCACGTGCAGGCATGCAGCACCAAATCTTCATGTGGCGTGTAATTAAGCAGCCCCGTATGAACAAAACGTGCCGCCATTTTATCGATTGCGGAAGTACTCGAGGCATGTTCCGCGGGCCACTTGTGGTGAGGACACGCGGCACCTCGATTTATCAGTGCATGCCGACGTTGTTCGTGATTGGTCGCTCTGGCAGTTTGTCTCCACAGGAAAGGTGTGTTCGTCTGCTTCTTGCGAAGCAGTTGCACTGACATCCGAACGCCAAGCTGTCATTGACTATGATGGAGGGATAGTGGGTAGACCTCAACGCTAGCTGCCTCGACGTCTACCCACTATCCTTCCCATCGGAGCCAATCAGAGCTCGGCATTCTGACGTCACCGAAGCCCCTGTTCAAGGAGCCAATGAACTTGCGCTCCGCGCATGCGCAAATATAATTCCGACACGCCTCGGAAACTCGCAGCCAGACTTGTGCCTATCTCAAATACTCTACTCAAGATACTGTGTCTTAAA